CCATGGCTGCTCCACCAGGGCTGCCTGCACTCTGCTGTGGCTGCTCTGACTGGCCGGCTGAGCTGCACTGTTGGGCATGCAGGCTGGAGTGGCTCTCTCTTTTGCCTGCCAGGTCCCTGGGAGGGGGCTTCTTGCTCGCCCCTTGTTATCTGCTCTCTTGGGGTCCTCAAATGTTGATGGCACCCCTGCAGCATCTGAACCCTCTGTATGGGAGTTTCCCATTGGCTGAGAGAGGCCAAAGAGCTATGGTTTCCCTGCAGAGGGCCTCCTCTCCCCCCTCTCTGGGAGCCATGCAGGCCCGAATCACTGATCTGATGGGGAGGGAGAGGTTTTCTCCTTACCTCTCCCCACTTCCTCCGGGGGCCCCAGCACATCCGCTCTCAGATGTGCAGCAGTGTGGGTCTTTCTGATGTCCCTTTGTGCTGTGTGAGTGTCCCTTGTTGGTCTATGAATGTCCCTTATGTTGTATCTTATTGGGGGAAGAGTTTACAAGAAAGCTCAGTCCACCATGATGCTGATGTCACTCTGAAATAAATATTTTTAAATGACCATTTAGTCTTCAACTGACTCAATGGTTCAGGAAATAATAATGTGTCCTTCAACATAAAGAGAGAATGATAAAGCAAATGTAGCAAAATATTAACTGGGGAATATAGTGAAGGGCATGTGGGGGCTCTTTGTGGTATCTTCAAAATCATTTTATAACTTTGAAATTATTTCATAGTAATGTTTTTTTAAAAGACCACTTAAATAACAGTGGGGGTCTTTTTTTGTTTCATTTTGGTTTTTTTGCCTATGACACAGATTGCCAACCCTACCTGATATTAAGAATTGTGTAAGGAACTTAAATGCAAGTTCCCATAACTTGCTCCAATCTACTGAACTAGAATCTTCAGAGAAGAGTCTGGGAATCTTAATCTCAGGTGTCTTTTATAATGTGGCAGGTCTAGAAAACATTACTTGATGATCTTGACAACAAATTTTTAAAAATAAATTAAAAAGGACAAAATGAAACAAAAAATAAAATAAAACAAAATTTAAAAAAATACAATAAACCAGGTAATACTCAGTGTTGGTGGACACATGAGAAAACAGGAATGCTCATACATTATAGATGCCGAATTGGGACAACATTTTTCAAGGCCAATTTCTATGGCAATTAAAAGCATCCATAGTCATATACAGCTAGGACATTTCTAGGAATTTAATACCCTCCTATTAGTATTAAAAAAATCTATGTACAAAGAAGTTCAATCAACATGGTCCCTCATAGTGAAAACTACAAACACCCCAAATGCTCATAAATACAGGAATGGATGTGTGTGCATTCTTTATTTTGAAGGGAAATATTTGGACTGATTTAGAATAAAATGTGAATAGTATATTTATTGAGGCAGAGATAACGCTGATATTGTCCTTCTACGTTATCTGTATTTTCTAATTTTACTGAGGGCCGTTTATGGCACCTTGAGAGCTTGCTCAGTCCAGTCCAGGCTTAAGACAACCTGGAAGCGTCAGAGATTTTAACATTCCCAGGGTAACATCCACCAATAAAGAACCCATGTCTGTGGATAAATACTCCAATTTCCTGTCACTGAATTGGGATAATTCTGAGGAGCATTCTACATGGCTCCTTAGACTTAGAGGGTCCCCAACAGGATTGGGCCAGTTGCCTTTTGGCCATGTCTATCACTGGTGCCACTTTTGTGTGTCTGTGTGTGAGGAAGACTGGCTTTGAGCTAACATCTGTTGCTAATCCTCCTCTTTTTGCTGAGGAAGATTAGCCCTGAGCTAACATCTGTGCCCATCTTCCTCTATTTTATTTGGGACACCTGTCACAGCATGGCTTGACAAGCAGTGCATCAGTCCCCGCCCAGGATCTGAACCTGCGAACCCCGGGCCATGGAAGCAGAGGGCGCCAACTTAACCACTATGCCACCGGGCCGGCCACTCTGGTGCTACATGTTTAACGAACAAACTTTTTCATCCTAAGATTGTATACAAAATAACATTCGTTATATACTATTTTCAATGGTTTTATGTATTTTTATCTAAATATTGAGTTAGTAAGTTTAAAACCGGAATAAGGCACTTCATTTTTTTCCAAATAGCTAATCAATTACCTCAGCACCATTTCTTCAATAATCTAAACTCTCTCCACTGATTCAAAATATTTCAATTAGATTACTAATATTTCCCCATATTTGTGTTTGACAATTGGCTTTCTCTTCTGTTTCATTTATTCTATATTTATTCTGGTATAATATTGTAGCTGCACAATACTTTTTATCTGTAAGCATAACTTTCCAAAATTATTGTTCTGAATTGTTGGAAGACCTCAGTGTTGCTCTATTTTAGAGGCCATGCTGGAGTCTTATTGTAAAGTGAAGTTGCACTAACATAATTTAGAGGAGACCATAAGTTTGTTACAAGCTCTCAAGATTTAAAAATCCACCAGCAAAACTCTGTTAGACTCACTATCTCACCTCATGGAAAAACCACAAAGAGACCCTTTCACAAGGGGAACCACCAGCTTAGGTTTATATTTCAAAGTCCTTAAAAGGGAGAGGAGGTGTTATCTGGAGGGTCTATATTTGTAGGATGATTCAGCAGCAGAAACAGGTTGCCAAGTTTTTACAGCTCGAATCCTGTTTTTCAACTGGAAATAACTGTATTATTTAGTCATAGCAAGCAAAAAAATGAATGCATGCTGATGGGAAACAAAAAAACAATTACATACACCCTCTTAAACATAAAGGGAAATAATTAAGGTGAAAGTTAAAAAAAAAGGTCACTTCCTACTTGCTTTCCAGATTTCTTAACCTCGGCCCCTTCTCCCGCCCCGGTTGCACTCTGGGACAAGACCTACAAGACTGTTATGGGAAATTCTGGGCTTTACTTGCTGGGGAGTGGAGTGGGGAGAAGTGGGCATTTAATGATATAAAACAGGAAGAAGCAAGTCTTTAAAAGCTCCAGCAGAAATCAGGGAAAAGGCATATTCAACCTACAAAATATTATGACCCGTTTGGTCTCGAAGATTGCTAAATAGGAAAAAAACAAAAAAAGGGATGTGGACAGTAGCCTGTTGTAGTGGTGGGGAGATGGCGGGAATGAGGAGAAAGGTGGCCCCGCCCACGCTCCCACCTCCCACTCTTCTGCTGCACTGCAGGTATGAACCGGAATTGGGGATCTGAGCTCGCAGTGACGTGGCCCTTACGAGATCTAGAGCCAACCTATGGATTAGTCTCTCCTTCTAGTTGTGATCCAGTGGTTGTTTGTGGCTGTGCGCCGGCTCGCTATTGCCTTGAAGGCGGGCGAGCCTGTAGCCCAGGGAAGGAAGAAGTCGTAGAAGATGACCCAGATCCGTGGCAGGTTAGCGGGCTCTGACTGGGGTGCGGGTGGCAGAGGGCAAAGACCAGAGTGGGTTCAGGATTGGATTCTCTCTACCACTTCCCCAATGCCCACCCGTTTGGTGCAAGAAATGAAGGGCTTGATGGGAGGAGACCGAGAGGGGCCAAGGGTTGAGAATGAGTACCAGTTGGGATCCCCTAGGAGGTGGACGATCAGGCGACGTCTGGAAGGGAAGGACCAGAGAAGAGGATGCCGAGGAAACAGCCTGATTCCTGCAGGGCGACAGGAGGGGGGCGAAACCGGTAACCCTGGGTTGGAGATAACGGACACCGCACGCCTCCATTCCCGGTATCTCTTCTCCACCCTCGTGCATTTTGGAGCTGGAAATGGTGGGCTGTGGGAACCTGGGTGAGGGGCGGTTGCTGCAGAGGATGGGGCAGGGATTAGGTCTGGGAAGCAGGTCCCTTCTGCGGAGGGGGGCAGTCGACCGGGCGGACTTCTGACTGAGGGATGAGGGATATAGGTGGGGAGGGAGAAACTGTTTCTGGTCCCTGCAGGCCGGTATAAGGGTGGGTGCTGCTTGCAGACCCTGGGGTAAGCATGACAAAGCGCTGAGACCGCAGCAGGACCAATTTTGCAATGCCCACACTACCTCTTCGCCCTTCGTCCATCTTGATGCATAAAATGGTGGCCAACAGAAGGAGGGTGGGCTCGAGAAAGGCCACTGGGTCCCAAAAGGTCCTGGTGGAAACCCAGATTGAAATTCTTCATAAATAAACCACATAGCCACCCAGCAAGCTCTTCTGACTTCCCCGCCCCGCAAACTGTCCATTTACGTTCAAGAAATGGTAATTAGGCAACAGAAGGGACGGGTCAGTGAGGATAAGGGGCCTAAAGAAGAGGTGAAACTGGTTTAGAAAAAATCGTCTTTGATTACAATGCCTCTTTCTGGAAGGCGGGGTAGCGCATCACAGGGCTGGAAAAGAAGCCCTGAGACAGGCTAGAGGAGAAAGAGAAGGCGGCAACATTTGACTAGCAGAGTCCTAAATCAGCAACAGAGTTGGTGCCCTGGGTACTGGTCCTTTAATCGAGTGATCAGTCTTGGGTATTGTCGCATTTCTGTCTGCAGGTCTTTAGGTCCGTTGGTGCAGCAGATTTCAAGGCTAAGAGAGGAAGATTGCTTCTGATCCCTGCAGGTAGGGGGCTACCGGGGGCTCTCTGGTGTAGGGACATCAGGGATCAGGACAGAATCTGGGGGAGTCACAGCCTTCCCTGCCTGAGTTAAGTGCAGCACAAAGCTGGCGAAGTCCTTAGAAACTGTGCGCCTATGGCTGGTGGAGGAAGAAGGGAGTAGAGGGGCAAGCTCTGGGGCGCCCCTGGAGGGCTTATCAGGATCCCTGGAAGCTGAGGCCTGGGTCTCTCAACCACCGCCAGCCCCACTACCCATCCTATGTTTTGATGAGAGGAGTGGCCTAGGGAAAGTACTTTCAGGGAAAATGGTGGGCTTTGGGGCAGGGCTGGGTCTGGGGCGCCCCCTGGAGGGCGCACGAAGTCTCTCAGATGGGAAAATCTTTGCCAACAGAACTCTGAATCCTGTTGTTACAGAACATTCAATCCCTCTTCTTGCTTTTTATCTCTAGGAAGAAGAAGCAGGAAAAAATCTCAACATGGAAAATGTCCCCCAGGAAAGCAAAGGAGGGGGGCAGGCCCCAGTGCAGAATGAAGAAGAAGCCCGCCCTTTGGGAGGTGGTCAAGGCCAGGAGCCTGGAGGAAATATTAGAGGGAGTTGGGCTCCACCTGCCCAGGATTTTAGAGAGGATATTCCCAACAGGCTTGTCAATAACATTGACATGATAGATGGAGATGCAGATGATATGGAAAGGTTCATGGAGGAGATGAGAGATCTAAGGAGGAAAATTAGGGAGCTTCAACTGAGGTACAGTCTGCGCATTCTTATAGGAGATCCCCCTCACCATGACCATCATGATGAGTTTTGCCTTATGCCTTGAATGCTGAGGTTAATAGTTATAAACCCTCTGCTTCCCAAACTTGCATTTTCTTGGTGTACTCTTTATCGTGAACCTTTGGTGTTGTGTCACTTTTCTGATTGGAGATTTCATTTTGACTTAGTCTGTAGGTTTTTCTGTCAGCAGGGGAGTTTCATGAACTTGCATGGAAAGATGTTTATTATATATTGTAAAGTTAATAGAGCAGTTTAAAAAGTAGTCTATAGATATACTATCTCATTTAAAAGTGTGCATATTATATATATATCTGAATGTAGTGTGCATATTATATATATACATCAGAATGTGTTTTTTTGTTTTCTTTATTTTTTCTTGATTATCTGTTTTTTCTCATTTTTCCAAAATGAGTACACACATATTATATGTGTCAAAAGAAAAGTAAGAAGCAAACAACTTGCCAGTCGGTTTATAAAGGGAATGGAGAAAATTAATAAATACTTGAGACACAATTTATACTTGAGACACAATTTAAAGACATATAAATTATATTACCTCTGGATCTCTTATTTAGAAGCACAAACCTGGTAATTATTACAGATACATTTCTTTAAAGTCAGCCGATTCATCTTAAAAAATGAAGATAGGGGCCGGCCCTGTAGCTTAGTGGTTAAGTGCGCGCACTCCACTACTGGCGGCCTAGGGTTCGGATTCCAGGCGCGTACCGACCCACCGCTTCTCCGGCCATGCTGAGGCCGCGTCCCACATACAGCAACTAGAAGGATGTGCAACTATGACATACAACTATCTACTGGGGCTTTGGGGAAAAAAAAAATAAAAAAGGAGGAGGATTGGCAATAGATGTTAGGTCAGAGCCGGTCTTCCTCAGCAAAAAGAGGAGGATTAGCATGGATTTTAGCTCAGGGCTGATCTTCCTCACAAAAAAAAAAAATGAAGATAATACATCAGACATCTCTGGACTTAGATAAATTAAAGTGGAGAGGCCCCAACTTTAGTTCAAGTCTGGACACAGGATATATATATATATATCCCGTGAAAGCACTTTTTAAGTGTCTTAATTAACCTATATATATCAGGCTTTATTTTCCCACTAGCTTGTGCCCTTTGTAAAGAGACAACTGTCTTATTTTTATGCTGTTATCTTCAGTGTATAGGTTTTCAACTTCGGCTGCAGGTTTGAATTACTTGGAATTTTAAAGTGGCGCTCAGGACCCACTCCCACCCAATTGAATCAAACTTACTAGAAGTGAGACCAGGGGATCATTACATTGTAAAAGCTCCCACAGGGAGTCTGATGTACCCATAGAATTGAGAACAACTGGGTATAATTTATGACTAAAATATCTTTGGTTCATTTTCTCTGCACTACCTCTGATTGACTGTGTGACCCTAAGGAAGTCATTTCATTTATCTAGAATATATATCTTCTGAAAGACATATCAAAGAGGAGGAATTATACCCAAGATCAACACATGAGATCTTTTTAAGGTAGTATATGTTAATGTTCCTCCAAGCTTGCTAGCCTATCAAATGCTTCAGAATCACATGTAGAGCTTGTTTAAAATACAGAATCCTGGTCCCACACCCAAGAACTACTCTTTGCTAACAGTACCCAGGTAACTGCATTGTTAACAAGCTCCCAGGTGATTCTGATGCACACTAAAGTTTGAGAATTACCTGTCCATACATTTTTATCTCAAAAATATTAAGGATAAACCAATAAGATAACTAAAATGAAGTACAGATATACGTTAATCTGAATTCAATAAAAAGAGCATAGACAAGGCCTGAGCATTAGAAACATAAGAAAAGATGAAACCATAAAGGGAAAGATCGATATTTACTATGTAAAAAATATTAAATCTTCTATAAAGTAATGCAAGACAGTAAATAAAATTTCAAAGGGAGGATATGTAGGTCTTAAGATGTATTTCCTCAACTGAAGACCATAGAATGCCTTTCACTCTCATTTCAATGTGGGTAATATAAACAATAAAATGAATAAAAAAACACGTTCTTCTTGCCCATTTAAAACCTTGATTATGATAGTCTGTTCTAGCCATTCTGGATTTATCCAATAACTAGAGAGTATTTATCTGCTTGTCTCAGGGAAAAGGTGGTAAGGTGAAAATAGGGATAAATACTCATTTGCCACAGAGCCTGTCACTCACTATTAGTATTGGTTTCCTGTGGCTGTGGTAAAATAAATTACCACAACAAAAATTTATTCTCTCACAGTTCTGGAGACCAGAAATCAGAAATCAATATGTGGGCAGGGCTGTGCTCCCACTGGAAGCGCCACAGGAGAATTCGTTCATTGCAATGCAACCCCTATCAAAGCTACAATAATCAAAACAGTGTGGTACTGGCGTAAAGACATATAGGTCAATGGAATAGAGTAGACAACCCAGAAATAAACCCACACGTATACAGTCAAATGATTTTCAAAAGGTGCCAAAACCATTCAACAGGGAAAGGACAGTCTTTTCAACAAATAGTGTGGGGAAAACTGTATATCCACATGCAAAAGAATGAGATTGGACCCTTGCCTTATACCATATACAAAAATTATCTCAAAGTGGATCAAAAACTTAAACCTAGGAGCTAAAACTATAAAACTCTTAGAAGAAAACATAAGGGGAAAGCTTCATAATATTGGATTTCTCCCTTTTGGAGGGGAAATGTCTATATTATGCCTATCCCACAATTATACTTGGACGTACACAACTCCTTTAGTTCATGGGTTCACAACTGGAAAAGTTTTTCCTCGGGATGAATCATACCTCCAGTCTCACCCAGACTTGATTTAGATGATATTTAGATGAGACTTTGGACTTGGAGTTGGTGCTGGAACAGGTTAAGACTTTGAGGGCTGGTGGAATGGGACGAATGTATTTTGTATTTTGCATATGACAAGGACACGAATATTGGGGGGCCAGAGGGTGGAAGGTTATATACTGAATTGTGTTTCCCCAAATTCATAGGTTGAAGCTCTAACCCCCAGTATGACTGTATTTGGAGATAGAGTCTTTAGGGAGGTAAATAAAGTTAAAGGAGGTCATAAGGGTGGGGCCCCAATCAAATAGGCCTGATGTCCTGGTAAGAAGAGGAAGAGACACCAGGAGTATTCACTCACAAGAAAAAGGCCATATGAGGATATAGCAATAAGACAGCTATCTGCAAGCCAAAGGGAGAGGCCTCAGGAGAAACCAAACCTGCTGACAACTTGATCTTGGAATTCCAACTTCCAGAACTGTGAGAAATTAATTTCTATTGTTTAAGCACCCAATTTGTGGTATTTTATGGCAGACCTAGAAGACCAATACAAGATATAACACAGATGAGTTGTTGCCAGGGACTGGGAGGAGAAGGTAAAGGAGGGAAACTTCTTAGTGAGTAAGGAGTTTTACTTTGGGGTGAGGGAAATGTTTTCGAACTAGATAGAGGTGGTGGTTGCACAACATTGTTAATGTACTAAGTACTACTGAATTGTTCACTTTAAAATGGTCCTTTTTTTGGATTTTTTATTGTAGAAAAAATATACACAATACAAAATTTTCATTTGAACCATTTATAAGTGTACAGTTCAGTGGCATTAAGTACATTCACATTCTTGTGGAATCATCACCACTATCCATCTCCAGAAACTTTTCATCATCCCAAACTGAAACTCTGTATCTGTTAAACAATAACTTCCCATTCCCCCCTCCCCACAGCTGCTGGTAACCAATATTCTACTTTCTGTCTATATGAATTTGACTATTCTATGTACCTTATATAAGTGGAATAATACAGTATTTGTCTTTTTGTGCCTGGCTTATTTAACTTAGCATAATGTTTTCAAGGTTCACCCATAATATAGCATGTAGCAGAATTTCATTCCTTTTTAAGGCATAATCACATTCTATTGAATGTTTATACTACATATTATTTATCTATTCATCTCTCAATGGACACTTGGGTTGCTTCTCCCTTTTGATTATTGTGATAATGTTGCTATAAACATGGGAGTACAAATATTGGTTTAAGCCTCTACTCTCAATTCCTTTGGATATACAGACAGACAGTCCCCAACTAACAATGGTTCAACCTACAATTTTTTGACTTTACGATGGTGCAAAAACGATATGCATTCAGTAGAAACAGTACTTCATATTTTGAATTTTGATCTTTTCCTGGGCTAGCGATATGCGCTACCATACTCTCTTATGATGCTGGGCAGCAGCAGTGAGCTGCAGCGCCCAGTTAGCCACGCGAACATGAGGGTAAACAACACGATATACTTACAACCATTCTGTACCCATACAACTATTCTGTTTTTCACTTTTAGTAAAGCATTCAATAAATCACATGAGATATTCAACACTATATTATGGTGTTGTCCTGTTTATCAGAACATAACCCCATTGTAAGTCGAGGAAGATCTGTATACCCGGAAGTGGAATTGCTGGAACATATGCCAATTATATGGGTTTTTTTTTTTTAATGAACACTATAATGTTTTCCACAGCAGCTGCACCATTTTACATTCCCACCAGCAGTATACAAGTGTTTCAACTTCTCCACATCCTCACCAACACATTATTTTCTGAGTTTTTAAAATAATACCCTACTTTTTTGTAATAGGTGTGAAGTCATATCTCACAGTGGTTTGGAATAGCATTTCTTTAACCATTAGTGATGTTGAGCATCTTTTTATATGCTTTGGCCATTTACATATCTTCTTTGAAGAAATGTCTATTAAAGTTCTTTGCTCATTTTTCAGTTGGGTTCTTTTTGTTGTTGTTGTTGAGTTGTAGGAGTCCTTTATATAGTCTCAATATTAATCCATTATCAGTTATATGATTTGTAAATATTTCCCCCAATTCTGTATGTTGCCTTTTCACTCCCTTGATAGTGTTCTTTGATGCACAAAAGTATTTAATTGTGATGAATTCCAATTGTCTTAGTCAGTTCTGGCTGCTATAACAAAATACCTTAGACTGGGTGAATTAAACAACAAACATTTTTTTCTCACAGTTCTGGAGACTGAGATGTCCAAGATCAAGGTTCTGGCAGATTCAGTGTCTGATGAGAGCCCTCTGCCTGGTTTTCAGATG